GCACACGCTCAACGCAGTTTCAGCCTCTTAAGCGTGGAGTTTCGTAAAATCCCGTCTTAGTGAGCACCTAAGTTCTAAAAGGAACCTCCATGCAAAATTTGTGGCTCCTAGCACTTGTAGTTTCCCAGATTTCATGATGAGTGAGTGAGTGACCTTTCGCTTTTATAAATATAGCTTTTGCCCGCGGCTTCACCCGCGTGAAATTGTTTGTCACAGATCGTCATAAATTCTAGCCTATATGTTATTCTGGGTTATAAACAATAATATTGTAGTCTCATCAAAATCCGTTCAGTACTTTTTGCGTGAAAGAGTAACAAACATCCAGACATCCATACAAACTTTCGCATTTTTAATATTAGTAGGAAGTAGAATAAATAATACTGAACCTCAAAGTTTTTAGCCCATTCCTTTTCAAAGGACATCATCTCCTCCTGTTCTATTTCCGCTTCTCGCTTCCGTTTCCTCTCTTCCATGTCACGAGTTTCTAGGTGCTGCCTCTTTCTCTCCATATCAGCAAACAGCTGGAAATTAAAATATCTGTTGAAAATGGTACTTAGACCGCTTTCACATTTAAGCCGCGTTTTCACTAGGAGACATTTGTCCCGCGACTCTGTCGCCCGACACGAAATTCACGTGTCCCGCGCGATGTCGCCCGACGTCGCTTGCGACATCTACGGGTCGCGAGACTTGTCGCTTGATGATGCTCTGCGATCGTCGACATGCGCGATCTTAGTGTGAACAAGTCATGTCGAGGGACAAAGTTGCAGAGACCAACTACGTGAATGTCGGACGACTTATCTCCGCGACATGTCCCCTAGTGAAAACTGGGCTTTAGGCGACTTTAACAGCGCGACAAACGCGCGAAAGTGATGCGCTGTCGATAATTTCATACTAATGACAGCGAATGCCTGCTTTCACATTATAAAAATGCTGCTGTCGCGCTTCTTACGCCCTAATGTGAAGGCGGCCTTAAACTTATCATCATCATCATTTCAGCCATAGGACGTCCACTGCTGAACATAAGCCTCCCCCAATGCTTTCCACGTTGATCGATTGGTAGCTGCGGTAGCTTCTGGAATGGAGGCCGCGTACCGGAAAACGCAGCGTGTGACGTCCACTTACAAGGTGGACCGACGACATCGTAAAGGTAGCAGGGTCCCAATTTTTATCTGCAGTCGGTATTTTGGACGCAAGTCATAGGACCGGCAAACAAACTGGTACGGACACGGAGCGTCGCGATTGATTGCTTGAGTTGGGGAGTAAATGGACAAGCAGGAAATATCATGGCAATGGCAATTAGGGAACATAGTGAGGCAGGGACAGGGTTATACCACAGAATAACAATAAGTACTACGTACAGAAGTTTTACTTCGCGAAGGTATTTAAAAAAATGTATGCTCAATGTCATTAACAATATGGTGTAATTTAGCCTGTCTCAAGAGTCAAGCACCATTTTGTTGACAAACGTCAGTGATCGACACTGCGCCGAAGCTATAGGGCTGACTTCGGTAAAATGATGTGACGTGAGGTGCCAAACTGCGGAAAATGGCGGAGGAAATACATGATTTAGCATGAATTATCATGAATAATATTAACTACTTATTTACCTCTCAGTGTCTTGAGGCAACTTAAAAACGTACATTCTATGTTTTTATTATTATTTACTTTAGGCAGTTAAATACTGCACAGTATTTAGTACACCATTTTCTTTATTTTCTTCCATCATACACAAGAATACGCGTGCGTGAGTCAATGTTCGCTCGTATGTGAGGCCTTGTCGAATAGTATCCTGTAGGTGGGCCATCGTGCGTGTTTTGTTTTCGATGTAAACTCGCGGAGATGAACAGGGTTTTAAAATACACCAATGTTAACTTAACTAATAATAATTTTAAAAGTGTATACCTTCATGGTCATAACATAGACTGCGTGTTTGTACTTGACAGGATCGTCTTCTGGTATACCTTCAGCATGGCGGCCTTCTTTTTTGAACTTCTTTCTCTTCTGTTCTATCTGTAAAATAATACATACATCGTGCATGATAAAATAAGTAACACTAGAGTATCTATTATAATATTGTCACATAAGTAGTATAGACAGACATCTGTAAGTTAATTAATGTGTTATGTACCTACCATGTGATCTGTGCGCTCTTTAGCCTCTTGGTAGACATCTAAACATTTCTTCCGTGTATCTTCATTCTCCAGTATTTTCCATGATCGGTTCACTATTTCGAACGCTTGCTGAGCTCTTTCGGAGTCATCCTAGAAGTCAAAACAAAAGAAAAACTTTAATATGCAGTCATTCAAACCACAGGTGAAAGTGATGTGAGAAATAGGTACTTTAGCAGAGTTAATAATATTCTGTAGTGTTTTTATTAAATTCTAGATGATCTTTCATTCGTCTCACACACTCAAATTTGTTCCTTACCTATGAACCGGAGTGTCAGCTCATGTCACGGGACGGTTCCCATCTGTGGATAAAAAGGAAATATTGACGGGCGTAACCGTCTAAACTAAACAAACGGAGATCTTCACTGAAGGTATTTACACAATAAAATAACATTGAACGAGAGAATGGATGGATATCACAAATATACCATATCTCTCTCTTTTGTCACTTGAATCTTTAAGAACCTAGACTATTTTGTTTGTACTTGCAAACTGTAACAATGGTTAATTACATAAAATACTGCAACATATATTTGTACATCAATCTAGTGTAGGCTAGGCTGTAATATGAAGTGTTCTTAAGACTTCACATAAATTCAGTTTGTATGGTCAATTTAGTTGAGTTACTTCAATATTATTTATAGGTAGTCTATCTACAGAATGGCACGCTCACACACAGTTATGAGATAGCTACGTAAACTACTTACGATATTCTTGTCTGGATGCACCAAAATGGACAGTCTTCGGTACTTTTTCTTGATTTCGTCAAGTGTTGCATCTGGTTCCACTTGCAACACTTCGAATGGATTTAAATTGAAATACGTCGAACCTGGACGCAGAAGCCTTTCTATTTGCTGCTTCGGAGTCAACACTGAATCTCGCTTCTCAATTTCTTTAACCTGAAAGTTATATAGTAACAAATTATAAATTCGTGCCATGATGATTCTGTCAGTGATTACATGGGTGTTGTGGTCGCGATTACACAGTAATTTACCTCTGTATAGAACTCGTCGAAGGACTCTTCCTTTGAGGCTGAAGGCACTGAAGACATAGTGATCAACCGTATCTATTTCTGCGTTACTAAATGTTTGAAGAAATCGTAAAATATTATTTATTTCATTGCAAGCACAAGCCAAGGCTCTTTTTTTTATTTCGTGAGTTTTTCTTTTTTTATTTATGTCATGAGCAATAGCGTTGAGTCACCGTTATTTAGTCCACACAGACCACAGAATAGACCACAGATATGGATTAGAGTAGATACAGCAAGTTGATCGTCAAAGCGTGCCATTCCGATATGTCCAAATGGACATACATGATCGAGTGATGTTCATGTAATCCGATTACAACAATCGGTTACGATGATTTTACGAGAACAGTAGTACGAACACGGTAGAATGAAGATATTATTTACGGATTGAGAATTGTAATTAACAGCACAAGTAGCAAATAATTAATTAGAATAAAGTAGCAGTAGAAGAAGTATAAAGTAGCATTGTTTTTAATACATATCCTGCGATGTACTCTTAAGAGTTAAAACCATGGTCCCTGTATGTGGTGCACTCATACCGATCCCAAGGAACCGTACTTACTCATGACAATAAGACACACACTGATCCATGTATTCATGCACTTGACAAATTTATGTCTTGAAACGCTGGTAGTAGGGTAAAAAAAAATAACGAGATTTGACGAATTGTAAGAATTACTTTATTTTAAAAAGGTAAATAAAGATGTTTTTGGTTTTGTATTTAACAAATTATCAGTTTTATCGGAATTAATTAATTTCCGAATCGAGTCACACGATATCTTTCGATGACTTTGCGAATGCAGTACGATGATACGATTACTTTTACGTTGCGGCAATCACTAAAATTCGCTAAAATGACACTAATGACGTTTAAAAAGTGGCACGCTCGGCTTCATACAATTTTTGACACATGCTGTATCTATCCATATCTGTGGAATAGACAGTCATGGAATCTTAGACTTTTCACATTTGCTCCAAACATTCGCACCAATTTTCAGCTGTAACCTATGCAAATCATCTTTGTATGTCTAATTACTGGGCTACCTATAGCCCGTTCTTGTAGCCTACACAAGCGAAGCAATGAAACCTATAGCACTGTTATTATAAGAATTAGACACCTAGGTCCAAGGCCGTGAAGTATTAAAAACAATTTATGTCACTTTGCATCAGTCAGTTGATCGTTCGTTCTTTGGTTCGTTCGTTCTAGGGATGTCGAAAGTGAAAAAAAATATCGATATATCGATACATCGATATTTAAAAAAAATATCAATATTGGCATTGATATATCGCGGAAAAAATATCGATATATCGGCAAAATTTAAAAAAAATATTGTGGTTTTAAAATAACAGTGTATTTAGCGCAATAATATCAATTGTAATTTTTATACAAAATGTAAATTATTTTAATGTACAAATATCTTAACCTTGAAACAAAAGAACAACTGAAGTGAAGTGTCAAAGTGTGGTGTGGTGACTGGTGTGAAGTGAGTGACGGACGCAAAGCAACCTACAAGTCATAGACTATACGGTTATTTTTCCATTTGTTTTACGGCTTTGGATTCTAGCGACTTTAGAATTGGTAGCCGGCGTCGGCTGTAAAGAAGGCACTTCCAAGCCAAGATCCATAAATAAAATAAAAATATCGTTTTTGATGCCATTTTCGATATTGGATATTTTATATCGATTTATCGATTTATCGGTTAACAATATATCGGCAAAAAATATCGATATATCGAATTAATAATATCGCATATATCGATGTATCGATATTTTTTCAACAAGCCTAGTTCGTTCATTTACATTCATTCCATAGAGAAAAGTAATACATAGGAAAATTCATTCCAGTTTGTTTACTTTTTGCCAAAATCCGGTAAATAAATTTTAACTCTCTTTTCTTTCTCGTTTAATCTAAACGAAATTGAAGGCAAATTGTTTTTAAGGATTACCTACCCTGTGACCATTAATTCATAGTATAGGTAAGTATAAAACTAGTTTTACCAACTTAAAATAGTTATTACATTACTTACCTATTTACGCTGCTATTTAGGATAAAAGAAGTTAAAACCATTAAATACCTTATAGAAAATATTTTAACTAAGTGGTAGAACAATTTTAATTAAAAAAACAACTCCATGCTACTTTGAAAATAGTAAAAACTTAACAGGTATTTTGACTTATGTGACCTTCATCATATTCCGACTAGTTTAATTTATTGAGCAAATATTCCAGTATGTTCTAGTCGCGACTGCTGACTTACAAATACGCATATTGAGTTATATTATTTCTTTTTTAGTTCCACAATGTTCACGGACAAGGTTATTCTAATAACTGGTGCAAGCTCTGGGATTGGTGCTGAAACTGCAGTGGAATTCTCCAAGTATGAAGGAACTTTAGTTCTGACTGGCAGAAACAAGGACAACCTCGAGAATGTTGCTAAACAATGTAAGGACATATCTCCAAAAGGTCTGAAACCTTTGATTATTATCGCAGACATGACTAAAGAAAGTGACGTTGAAAATATTATTAAGTCGACCATCGACAAATTCTCTAGGCTGGACGTGTTGGTTAACAATGCAGGCATATTAGAGGCAGGTACTATTGAAACCACTTCTCTCGAGCAATACGACAGGCTAATGAATACTAATGTCCGTGGCCCTTATCATCTAACTATGCTAGCGACACCTCATCTAATTAAATCCAAAGGAAGTATCATTAACGTGTCCAGTGTGACTGGCATGAGATCGTTTCCCAACGTTCTTGCTTACTGCATGTCTAAATCTGCATTAGATCAGTTTACAAGATGTGTAGCGCTGGAACTTGCACCGAAAGGTGTTCGTGTTAACGCAGTCAATCCTGGAGTTATTACTACCGGAATACATATGAAGTCAAGTATGAATGAGCAGCAGTATCAAGAGTTTTTGAAGAAGTGTGCTGAAAGTCATGCCTTGGGAAGGCCAGGTAACGCAAAAGAAGTTGCATCAGCGATTATATTTTTTGCTAGCGATGGTGCAAGTAATATCACTGGAGCTACATTGCCTGTTGACGGAGGGAGACATGCCATGTGCCCTCGCTAATATTGTTTATTTTTAATTCAGTTACTTAATTTCTATTTCATTGTATGTTTGGAACTGCAGTGAATTTTCTATGTGATTTTAGAAGATAATTTTGTGATATCTAACAGAGTTTAAATCTGATTTGGGATAAAAAAAGAACTGATAAACACCTAGAAAACTGTTAATACTTTGATTGAATAAAGTATATTATGTGATACAATATAAATGTAATATGATGTTATAAAATTGTTTTAATATTTCCACCAGCTTAAAGTACACAGAAACAAAACCTAACATACGGGTTTTGTAAAACCTTTTTTTACTGTGATGCCCTTGACAATTTACCGTTTTTATGCGACGCCTATAAACCTTTAGTCAGATTTCGAATAGATTGCGATCTTTAACCTACGACAAACAAGCGTAACATTAATTTACCAGTAATAATCCTATGTATAACCATTAAGTTTTTTAAATAACAGATCTAGATATTCATTGCTTATTATTTATCAAATAAATAATATTTATTCTCTTAAACAACCCACTAATTTACAATATTAATTAATTAGTAAAACTACGTTACTCTAGGATTAGTTTTAATTTTTAGTGTCACAAAAACTTGGACCCCTGACCCGGAAACTAGTAAAAAACTGTATTATCAGGATCAGTGATTCCTCAAACGGATTTAACAAAAAAACACAGGACAGTGTTTAAACAACCAGGAAGTGGATTACTGAGATAAAAATTATTAAGATAGGTATACAAAGAGGGAAAAGATAAAAATAAAAATCAAATCAAATTTCTTCTCTATCCATCTAATTAAATTGTAGTTTTGCCCAACAATGAACTCAAGAGCGCCAACATGTTGTAGATAACAACTGAGTAGATAACTATTACGCAACGATGACAAGTTAAACCTCGCGCATATTTATATTTCGTATCGATCGTAACAATCGCATTCACGGTCACGATGTTCGCGGGCAAAGTTGTGTTGTTGACTGGCGCGAGTTCCGGCATTGGCGCCGAAACCGCTTTGCACTTCGCCAAACAAGAAGCTATTTTAGCTCTTGTAGGAAGAAACAAGGATAACTTAGAGAAAGCAGCCAAAAAATGCGAAGAAGTCTCGCCAAAGAAACTGAAGCCCATCACCATTATTGCAGACGTAAACAATGAAACTGATCTGGAGAGAGTTATCAACACCACCATCGAACAACTGAAGCAAATCGACGTATTGGTAAATAACGCCGGAATAATGACATCTGGGTCGATAGAAACGACGAGTTTAGAACAGTACGATAAGATAATGACAACAAACGTACGAGCTCCGTACTATCTCACGATGCTCGCGGTACCGCACCTCTTAAAAACTAAAGGAAACATCGTGAACGTATCAAGCGTCGCTGGAGTGAGATCTTTCCCGAATATACTCGCCTACTGCGTTTCAAAATCTGCCCTTGACCAGTTCACAAGGTGTGTTGCCCTGGAGTTAGGGCCGAAAGGAGTTCGCGTAAATGCAGTCAATCCTGGAGTCGTAATAACGGAGATACATATGAGAGGCGGAATGAGTGAAAAAGATTACGAAGCCTACATTGAAAAGTGTAAAATGACACACGCGTTAGGACGACCTGGCCAGACTGAGGAAGTTGCTTCGGCCATTCTATTCTTGGCGGGAAGTGGAGCTAGTAATATTACTGGTGTGACGTTGTCGGTTGATGGAGGACGTGGAGTGATGTGCCCGCGGTAATCATTAGAATACATAATTGCCCACAATTTTTATTGGAATATACAGTGTTGTTAATACATTATAACAGTGTTTTTTGTATCTTTCATGGTTTATATTTATGAGTAGTTTGCTGTGGTAGTCGTTTCATGATCTCCATGTTGTGCTAAACATTGTATAATATTCAGTCCCTCAGCAGTTATAACAGCAGATGCCTCAATTAAACCATCAGTGGAACATGCGATGATGGCATCTAAGATTTCATCTGTTATATTTCTTGATTCAAGTCTCTGAAAGCGAAAAAAACAATGCTCACTATACAAAATATAGTTCTCTAGTTTTGGAAGCATTAAGTTTAGATTACTTACGCGTTTTAGTATTTCATCAGTCACAGCTTCAGTTTCTTTCATAATATCCATGCTTACATTTAGAAGACATTCTTCCACGTCTTTATTTTGTTTACATTGATTAAGTTTATTCTCGATTTGTTCAATAATCTCTGTATAGTTTTGTATGGTTTCTATTTGACGGTCTTCTAAGGTATTTATACTGCTCACTTTGTCAGATATGCATAAAGATACCTTATTTACTATATCCAACATAATACGGTCAAAATCTTTGGTGTTTTCCTGTTAATTAAAAATTTGTATGGAAAATTGGAAAGACAGTAATCAATGATTACTAATCATCATTCAAATTTAAATTAGTTCGCTTACCTTTATACATTTCTGGAGAGTCTCATTCCCAGCGATGTTTTCCACTAGCTGTTTTAACTTTTGTCTTAATATTGTTAACTTTTCTTCAAATTTTTCCTTGATAGCATTAGCGCGCTTTTTAATATGTTGTATCCAAGTAGCAATTTGTTCTTTTGTCTTTTCTATCATAGCTTTAACAGATTTCCAAGCATTGCTGGCGAAGTCTTTGATATTATTCCATAACTCATTTAAACTGCGTTCTCTATCTTCTAATATCATTAATTCTTCCAGCTTGACATTTAGTTCCAGGTCTTTATTTATTTGATCAACAAATTCTTTGTCTAAACATGTTATTTCTTTCGCCAAAACATTCTGAAAACATCACAATAATCACAATTTTTAGTTATTGATCCTTCATAATTTCATTATAAAAGATTTAAAATTTTGACTCACTTGAATAATAAGAAACTGGACAACGATCACGAATATACCGTTCATGATGAAAGCTGGTCACATTAGTTCAGTAACAGGGGTTCTTTGTCGTTTATAGGCTAGTTTCAAGAGGGTTTTTGAAATTTATCTGCCATTTACTTCAATTTTAGAGGGTTACCAAACAGCGTATGATTCCCTTTATCAGTCGTTGCGGTTATCCGTGTGTAGAAGACTTATAAGTTTGAAGAGCCAATACTAACAATAGAATTTGATACTTGTATGGTGATAATAGCTGTTGTCAATCAATTCCTTTTGTATAGTCCATCTTTAGACAATATTTGTACATTAAGAAAAGTGACAGACAGAAGAGAGAATGATGGGGTTTGTATCTCAAAATAAAGGTATTGCTGCTTTGTTAATAGTAGTTACCTTATAAAAAAGTTATGATAAGATACTGTTAAAATAAGTCCAGATTAACAAGGAAGAAAAAATCAATTTGTATTTATTTTGCCAATTTTACATGAGACTTTCACAAATCATTGGAGTTGGAGCCAGTCAGAGTGCTGTAGACTGAAGACACAGAGCAACTGCCGATTTCCATGATGATTTTGCCGGTGACCATTCCTGCTGCGACCAGGTGGTTTCCAGCGCATACTTCCAAAGATGCTGGGACGGTGGCCAGGGCAACATTAAGGCGAGCAATCTGTAATTAGTGGAGTTAAAAACATTAACATCATTAGCATAACTTGTAGGTCTATCGACACTTGACTAGTGATACCTAAGTTGGTAGTAATCGATGAAGATAATGGTAGATATGTCATTGTGATAAAAAGGCGAATGCAACCAAGGTTTTAAATTACCATCATGTAGATATTGAATTATATCACGTCGATCAATATTGGATCTCATGTTGAAGAATAATCTTATCTGTTGTATATGATTGCATTGTATGAAGCTACGCATTGCAGTATGTAATGCATGACTTAGCTTTTAACTAGGTACGTTATTCTCACATAGTATGCTCAAGCAGGTCCTCTGATAGTGATTTAGAACTGTTAGGTTTGGTAGTCGTGATTGTTGTGCCTTGCATATTATTATAACATAGTTCCTCATCCTTAGTTTTAATCTACTCAAGTAGGTACTGCAAGATTTTTGTTATGAAAAGTTTTGATTACGTACCGATAGTCCACTCTGGGTTGCGTATACGGCTCCTTTCATTTCTGTTCTCAGTGCGGTTCTCCCTAAACACGATCCAACAGTCAGAATCTGTCCAGGGTTCTCCTCAATGCACTTCTTCATCTGTTCCAAGGCGTCATTTGCGAATTGCAGGGCTCCTTCGGTGAGGTTCTTTAGGTTGCCAATCTGGGTGCTAATCTCGCTGATACGATCGTCAGCGCATTCGAGTGTCTTGGTCATTGTTTCGTTGAAGAGGGCATTGGCGTCCTTGCGATGGGACTGTAATGATTAGGATGATAAAATAATAGGTAAAACCTACTTACACCGTTTTGAGTAACATTTTGTGTTGCCATTGTTTGTGAAAATCAAAATCTACATGTTGTTGTAGTATTGTTTTCAGTGTAGGTAACATTGACTAGTAGAGGGTTTGTTAGTTAACCACTCAAATATGAGATCATGTCTGGGATCATTGGATCACTAGCTACCTTCTTTGCATAGTTTGTGCTACCACCACACGCAAGTAAGAAATTGGTAACTTCATAATTTAGTTCATTTAGTCTACTGTAGAAGCAGGGCCCTTTAAGTAATTTACCTCAACGCAATTTCTAACCGCGGTACCAGTTCCCGTAATTCGGTCCAAGATCCCTTGGATAGCTTTTGTTACGCGGTCGCTTAGGTTCTGAATGTCAGCAGCAATCTTCTCCCGGATAGCAGTTGCTTGCTCGAGCAGACCAGCTTCGAAGATCCTGATGGCGTCCAGGGCATCATTTGCTGCTAGGCGTAGGTTTTCAACTAGCTCTTCTATGAGTTTTCTGATGAAAATAGGTAAATTTAGGATCTAGTTAATGAGATGAAATATTGCTTCATTAAACTGTGAAGATCTAAATTTGATAGTGGTTGTTATTACCTAGTGTTGCCGAAGATATCTACATCTTGACGTTGACGTAGAACCAACGAGTGGACATCAGATGGAACTGCTAGTGCTGAGCAGACCTGTAAACAAAATGATATAAAATTAAGTCAGACCAACGCAATAGACTTACTACCTTACTAGATATGGTAACTTAAAAATCTTGCAGTTCGCACATGCTTCGTGTTATCCGTATCCTACACGTTTAGATAGAAGATCCAACTAAGTACGGAGTTCAGGACATTTTCTGAAATCGATAGGAGCATAGAATCGAGCCTTTAATATCAGTTTCTAGGGTCGCGTTTGCGTCCTAGATTTTGGATCTGGCGAGCATCTTAAGTCAAACAGAGAACGGGCAGCAGCGCTCTCTGAAAAACATCAATCTTTTAAACTGCGATCTCCAACCCGCCTGCCAAGCGTGGGGATTATGGCATAACCCTCCACTACAGTGGAGGAGGCTCATAGTCCAGCAGTGGACTGTAAAGGGCTGTTGATGATGATGATGATGAGCATCTTAAGTACTTTAGTAGACAAGATAAGTGGTGGAGATTGTTTTTGTAAAAAAAAAATTTCTAGTTGCCCTATATGTAAACCTAATTTCAGTCGTCAATTGATGGAAATAATATACAAACGATCCTTACCACGAGCGCGAATACAAGAATTCCCTTCATTTTCAAATAGAGACAACTCGTGAAACCAATTGAAACTAATGCCATCATCGCCTAGCCACCGTTTTATAGTAATTTGGAAAAGGCAATCGTTAATAAGAACAAATAAAAGTAATCTTATCAGATGCATGGGATTTCGAGTCAACACATGGAGTAAATGTTTAAATAATGATATGGAATAAGGGCCAGCTATGGCTTTTCTCAATTTGATCAGTATGTACTTAGTTACATACCTTAATACTATTATTAATTATTATAATTATGTACTAATATTTCTTAGTACCTACCTTCCCTGGGGAAGGCTTTAGGTCAGCATTTGGATGAAACGAACAAACTAATATTTCATTGCAGTAGATAGGTATTGTTTAAAATGTGTGTATGTAGGTATTGTTTAAATTGTTTGAAATATGCTTTTAGCACTGTAATACTTAACGGAATTTTTGTCTGAGTGGTGTAGCCTTATGGGTTATGGGCCTCGTGGCATTTAGGGGTTTATTATTATTTACCTGACCCAAATAAAAATATAAGTTATCATAAAAACACACTATAAATATTTCATATTACTTGTTGATTACTCTAATTCTAATCTTATTTTTGAATGGATTGCATCACATGACAAATACTATAAGTTTGTATGTGCTCATTTCGGATGGTATTGCTCAACACATTTTCAAGGTCTTCCAGATTACAGCTGCAAAAGTAGGAAGGTCGATTTATTAAGATGATACTCGAAAAATCCTAAGTAACTTACTTCTTGTGATAAGGTGATTCTATGTAGAATATTGAATACTTTTTGATATAGGTACCTAGATTCATATAGGTACACTCTTTTCGTTCTAGTCGGGGTGATAAATTATTGAATTGTTCTATTTAATACCTAGATACTACTATGACTACCTAACTTGCTTATTAGTTACAACGGAGTGTATCTTTTGTGTAGCCAGGTAATACAAAACCTTAAGAATTCCTAAGATTAAATCTCCGGGAACCTGTACCAAAAATATTGTGATGGAAATCACTGGGAATTCGTGTCAATAACATTCTGTAATCCGAAGAACAACGAAACGCCTACTCCTTTCTGATTAGTATTGATCCGCTTTGCGTGGAATGCTGCCGTCATGCATCGTCTAGGCGTTTGCGAAAGTATTAAAAAATTAAACTGTTCTTAAATAATTTTCTTTCTGAATACCTACCTACTTACTTTTGATGTTCATGTATCTTGCCTTTTATGTAATTTAAGGTATTGAACAGCAAAATATGGGTATTCTATTAGGCCGATCACATCGAGGGTCAACATACCTACTTACTTATTGTTCTTTTAAAATAACAATGAGTTGGTTTGCTATTACTTCAACGTCATATGAATAGATATTAAACACTTGTTCAAAGACTAATTTATTAATATAATAGATTGACTACCTTTTGAGTAGCTAACGAAGGATAATAATACTCGTATAAGGTTCTTATTGATTGATATACCTACTTACCAAAGTACTTACATAACTTCCTATTTCCAAGATGGTTATAATCAAATTATTAATGCATATTACAATAAATTTTCGTGTTCTTCTGGTAGTATAAGTATGGAACTGTTCTATTTTCTAGAAAAACATTATGTGACTCGTTTTGTTGGACTCTTGGAGAAAATGTTTGCAAGTACAAATAGGTACAGAGGGATTTTGCGTTTGTTTATCGTTCTGCTGATGATGAAGAAAGCTGTGAGCTGCTGATAAGAAGTGACTGATCGTCATACAATCATGTAGTAAAGAAAGAAGAAGGAAAGGAAAATATTATAAGTCAAAAGTCAGCTTTTACCAACATGTAAATGCAGTTCTTCTTCTTCATCTTTAGGTTGATGGCGATGAACTTGCGGTAAATGCATTTTTTTCTTTACATGAATTGAATTGAATGGGACAGGTCTTCTTTAAACATAAGTACTTACTTCAGAAGATAATTTACCTACCTATGTTGGACATGCATATAGGAAGTAGGTAAGTAAAAGTATATTTTTTCCAATTATTATTTACAAACAAAATCTAGTAAATATTGTAAAACAAGCGTGGGAAACTACCAACGCGGCCGCCAATCGCCAGTCGAGGAACAAAACAATGGGCACTTTCCTAATGTTTGTGTAATTTCAATGAAATGTATCGATAACATACGCACAGCTGAGCGCACATTCAAACTGGCTACGGACTTTTCTTTTTCATCGACAATCTATCAAAGGTTTATGTAAATGGAAAAGTGACTCTAGTTAGTTTGTTATACTCATATTGTCACGTCTAAACTCCCTCTTTTAACCGTGGTCCCACCGTTATAACCCACTGGTATGTCCACAGGTATTTTATTCTCCCTGTAGACCCACTGCAATAGTTATAATTTATCATATTCAATCTGGCTGTTTTCCGTGGGTCCACGGATAAATAAAAATAAATATCCTTGGACATTTTATACTGCGCTTCTAGTCCCAAACTTAGCAAAACTTGTACTATGGGTACTAGACAACGGATATAAACATACTTAAATACCTACTTTTTTTTGTAAATACAAACATAAACATAGAAAACACCCAGTCCAATACAAACAAAACAAATATGTTCATGCACACAAATGTTTGTACTATGCCAGAATCGAACCCGCTACCTCCAGAATAGTAGTCCGTTTCGAACCACTACACCAAACGGCCGACGATAATTTCTTTAACTTTTTCTTTCCCCGTTGTGCCACTACTACACGATCATGTTTAGGCTCGAGCGAGATCGTGATCCCATCGTTTCGTGTCCAAGTTACGTACAAAGATAGGTAGGTAACTAATACATGTTATTATATGCCATTATATGACTCTAAATCCATTTAAGTGCCTTCCTCTAATATTTTTCTTTTTTATTATATGCATGGCCTTTCCAACCGGACCCTATGAACATTGTAGTGTTCACATTTGATATAGGATTATGAGGATAAACACGAAGCGTCGCCGCGTCGTTTAAAAAGGGCTGTCTTTGTTCAAATGCTGTATGAATAGAACAAAATACAGGATGTTTGAAAAAGCAAAAATCAGGTAAAGTTATTCGTTGCCAAGTTAAATGTGATACAATAATTAATTCATGTTCTTTGTGTCTTTAAAACAGTAGGTACCTACCTGTATTTTACAGAAGAAAAGAAATTTAAAATTAGCTCGGTTTTCAGGGCTAACAATGAAGTGTGTTTTACCCGACTGTGCCAGAAGGAGGGCTATTGAACAAAGTATATGACTGGCATGTGCTAGGACATTGTAGATTGCCTGTTTATGTGCTTTTATATGTTGTGACAAGTGACCGACATAGCTCGCAGAATTGCTAAAGTGGCGACCACGGGCTGGAAGACGTAGCGTAGGCAGGCCTCCTACTAGGTGGACCGACTACTGATAAAGGTCACGGGCTGAAACGAACGAACGATGTTGATATTCTTTCGGGACACCCTGTATTCGCGGCGGGGCTGTCTAGTCTATGCTAATTAGACTGTGACGTAGTTCGAGGTGATCCACTCGCTGCCTACGACCGGTCCCGAGCTTATTGTAGATTTATTGCTTTGTAAACTTTTATTTGTTGACAACATTTTTAATAGGTCGAACGCTTTGCTCGAGGCGAAGGTAATTTTATATGCAGTTAGTTCTTACGGTTGGTTAAGACAATATTTTTATATATTGTTAGAGTAGGTACTCTAGTGGGTAGGTACCTACCTACTTCTGAAATAACAGCAGTAACAAAATTTTTTACAGACAACTCGGTCAGTTTGACAAGCAAATTAGTAATTTTTTGGTGTCGATTCTTGCCTCAAGACAGTCTGTAGAAATTGTCTAAAACCGCAAAATTATAAAAGTTCTGGTAGGTAACCGGTAAGTAGATAGACCTCGGTACCTTGAAGATTTTATACTTAAGTCAAAAAAATGTAACGCGACTTCAGAAGTGTCTCTACTGCCAAAACACTTAAACTCCTCAGCACTATATTTGTAACTCACCGTGCCTAATGGACCTATGAAACTATGCTCTCAAAAATTTGTTTTGGTCTTGAAAGGAATATTCTAGATGTGCCCGCGCACATTGAACGAACAGAGACGTAATTTAGCAATAAGGACCAGCGGTCGTCATTTCGCGCATCCTCTAGGCTGCGCGTACATCGTTGAGACTATTTTTTGTATTTTTTTTACTAAGTACAATAATTTGCTCAATAAAAATACGGTTTGTGACGCATCTGGTTTCATCTACTTATTCGTGACAATCAGTATGAAAAGTATGTTTCTTTATCTATCTATCTTCACCTACCACTGATGATGTAACAACTATTGCAAATTTTTGACTAAGGCATAGAGCTTGTGTAACTTCACAAACCTAGGGTTTGTATAGTTATGCCCGTTTTCACCATCAATCCTTAATTTTTAAGTGACCCCTATGAAAACAAAATTCCTGCTATGTGTTACCATAGGGGTCACTTAAAAAACGGGTATTAGAAGCTTAGCTCCACGTGAGATCTGATATGTTTTTCACATGGTGGGCCATGGTCTGGCCTTTGCAACTGTTTAGGTACATGAAAATGTTCTTCGTGGGATCTTACATCCACTACATCATCTACGCGTTAAGGTGGCGGTTCGCATCGCGACAGAGACAGGAGACCGAGACGGGAAACCACCACCGTTACTTGATTAACGGGTGCCCACTCCTCCTCGACACACGATGCACGGTTTATGGTTTTATGGTGAATAGGTTTAGTGGGTAGGGTCCGCTAAATAGGACGAGCCCCACACACCTCCCAGCAGCCCTCGCGACTGGGAGACGGTGCGCAAAATGCATTCCGACCACCTAAAAAAAAAAAAGGCCGAGACCTGTCTGTCTCTGTCTCCCTTACGAACTGTCGCTTATACATTGTCTAAAGTCAAGTAACGTTCGCGGTCTCCCGTATCTGTCTCGCGTCTCGGTCTCCTGTCTCTGTCGCGATGAAAGAAAGAAAGAAACATTTATTGCCATGGACATCACAAAAGACAA